CTCTATAGATCTCTCTATAGATATAGTATATACTTACACTGATGCACGATCGGCGGCTGATCCAACAGCATTATAATTATTGCTTGGGTTGACAGGCGCCACGCCTATTGCAGCAGCCGTAACGGTTGTTGTGGCATTTGTGGGTCCAACACCTGAATTTTCGCGAATTTTAAAACAGAAATGTTATTCGATATATATTCAGCAAATTGCAGCCCCATTATGGGACTTACGTAACGTTTCCGCACCGGACGAAGCTCGACGACTTGGCTTGGTACTCGAGGCCGATATACTTCTGTGTACACCACGATGTGTGGGACTTTGGACGATCGCATTGCCCGCATTGGCCCCAGCCTCGGTGCCAGAGATGTTGCGCAGCGAGAGCGATGATCCGGATCGTGACCCGTCACTTTCAGGCTAAACGTACAACAGCAGCCAGGCAGGAGGGCAAGCATAAAGCAAACGAAATATATATATATATATCATTGCAGGGTATTTCACAATTCAAAACCACAACACGCCTCACACTTACATCAGTGCTCTTGCGACCCAGCAACAAATACGTGGCGAATACGTCATCGTAACGCACCTGAGCCAGTGACGCTTCGATTTCTTGTCGATTGTAGCCCATTGCGACTAGAGCTTCTATACGATTTGTCAAAAGAAAATGTTGGGCAAGGTATTTAATGATAATTATATTCTTCAATTATACATATAGGCAAATACGATTTAGCTTGATTCATACAAAAATTCAATCAATAGGTATACATTACATGCAAATTCATTACAATTACATAACATTTTAGCTTGAACAGTTCTCGCGAACTGTTCGAGTACAGCCAGAATTGTGTGCTCTATAGAAGCCTTTAGGTTTCGCAGAGTTACAGATTAAATTTCATTTTTCGTTTAGTATTTTTAATCACATTATAACAAAAGTTTACAACATTGCCATGCATTTATTTGAAATAACAACAAAATAGTATATATATAGAGTGATCTTTAACTTGATCATCATACATACATAGGTACATATTAATTATCATTATTGTATCGAATTTAAGGACGCAAACCGGAGATATATAATTCGAATAAATGATGATTGTTAAAAAAAAAATAATAACAAATATAGTATATATTTATAGAAAAATATTGAAGAATTTTCTGTTCATAAAGAGATATGATTCATTTTTTTTTCTCCCGGCAGATCTTGATAATTTGAAGCAAACCAAAAAATAAAGAAATTGTAAGAGATAGAGAAACAAAGAGTATTTATTTATTTAATGATGATTGCCATTCCAAAATAACGTTTCTCCCACAAAGGGATTGCATACATTTTGGTGTGGCACTTTCCATTCGCCGATTAAAAAGATCATCATTAACATCAAGTCAAATGCACTGCGTCGGATCGATGCTGTTGCTGATGCCGATGCTGAGTGTTTAACTCCGGTTTGTGACCCCGCAGCTGTATCGAGAATTTTTAAGCAAATATGTACGTATTTATGTATATAGCAAACAACTAACAACAGCCAAGAAAAACAAAATCAGAATAATTGAAATTATAAGGTATACAAACGGGAAATACTCTGTATATATATATATATATGGAGATACAACAACAAAAAATTCAAAATATTCAAATTGAAATACTATTTGACATCACAACAGTACAATATATCTATATTTGTAGATATATCCAAGTACAACAATTGTAATAAAATACAAAAATAATCAACAGGCAAAACTTTTGACACACAATTCGTTAATAGTATTAGTAATGAATTTCGTATACAGTACCCGTCTTACCTATCCGCTTGGGATCGGCTAAATCTTGTTTTGGCTCTATGTATGGCTTGAGCTCATCGTCTTCAAACCCCATATTCATCCACTTGTCGCCCATGATTGTTTCAAGACTAGCACGTTTAGCAGGATTTAGTACTAGAAACTTGCGCAGCAAATTTTCGCAATCAGTTGACATATAGAATGGAATTCTAATAAACACAAAAATATATTAATATATATCTATACACCTAAAGGTCTATCGATACATTACCTATATTTGCCTCTGAGTACACGTTCGCGTAGCTCCCTCAAAGTGGAACCGTCGAAAGGCAGGGATCCGCTCACTAACGTATACAATATAACGCCCAACGACCAAACATCCACCTCAGGTCCATCATACTTTTTACCCTGGAAGAGCTCGGGCGCTGCATAGGGTGGGCTGCCGCAAAATGTATCCAACTTTGAGCCGGGCGTAAACTCGTTCGAAAATCCAAAATCTGCTATTTTTATATTCAACTCGCTGTCTAATAATAAGTTCTCAGCTTTTAAGTCCCTGTTAAGAAAAGTAAACAAATCGCACACATATAATAGACGATAAAGTTTATAGATAAGATATAAATAGATATGTTTGACACAATTGATTTATTCCCAATGTTTGTTGCATGGAGAACGTGATTCATGAGTGTTTAAAACAGTTCATTTCCGAGTCATTCCGAGTTATCGTAACAAAGAGTCCCTAATGTTTGATAAGGTCTATGAGAAAT